GGGCAAATGACTTAATATCCTCGTGCCTCAGTATCTTCATTTGTATTATGTGGATACTAATAGCATATACCTCCAAATGTTGTTAAGAGGATTAAATGTGTTAATACATGTAAAGTGGTTAGAATTGTAACAGGCACATAGTAAATGATCAATAAATGCTGGCTGTTTAGAAATCTTTGGGAAATAGACTGGAGAGAGAGAGAGAGAGAGAGAGAGAGAGAGAGAGAGAGAGAGAGACACTAACTAGTGGTAGTGGTAAGGAAATGCACCAATTTCACCCTTCTGTCCTCTGTGTTGCCTGTTCTGGGGCCAGAATTCTGAAAACTATCTCCTTGCCAGCTGACTTTCTATTAAATTCTGACAGTAAACTGGAAGAAAGAGGGGAAGAAAGGAGTTATTCCATTGTACTTGCTTGCTATCCCTCTCAGTGTTGTCCGAACAATGGCCCTTCACCCTGACAGTGACAGCTGAAAATCAGTGTCTAGCTTTCCGCTCCCCTCCCCAAAGCAGTCCTGTTATACCCCTTAGAAGCACCAGCAGTAACCAGGCAGGGCTCTCTCCTCAGAGGTCTGACTTAGTCCCTGGGAGACTTCTTCTCAAGGCATCCAGACTAGGATTCCTCCACCTGTTTTCTGTCTCCCCACCCAGAGGTGGTAGACGCTTCCTGCAGTTACCTCTGTGTTAGGTCAGTGTGTTCCTCCTCACATTTTCAAAAATATTAGCTGCTGTTTAGCCAGTCCCCTCTATTATTTTCTTTCTCTTAAAAAAACAACAACACACAATTGGTGTGGTTTCTGTTTTTCTGACTGGACCCAGACTGATAAAGTATGTTAGAGATAAGCTTTTAATAATGGTCCAGGCTAGAAGTATTGAAGGCACAGAAGCAATCCGGCAGGCCCAGGTTACTGAGTGAATGTGGGGGAGAGGGAGAGGACGCACAGGTGACTTTGAGGTGTTGAACCCAGTGAATGAGAGGATGGCAGTGCTATTCTAAGATAAGGAAAATAGGCGGAGAGACTGGGGATGAGTTTGGTGGTTGGTGCCTGCTGCTTGAGATACTTGCAGGCTATCCAGTGGGAAAGTCTAGAAGGCAGCCAGGAAGAGGCCAGCATCACCTACACAGATGATGAGATTGTTACAAGGGAGAAGGAGAAAAATGGGATGAGAATGAAAAAGAGAGCTGCCCTCCTGAAATGAGAACATCAATTTGAAAAAGAGACCAAAGGTGACAACGCAAACAAACAAATAAAAAAAATGTGTGTGAGAGAGAGGAGAAGGGCAGGAATGTGACCTTGTGGAGGAATATGGATTTGGAGAACTGGAGGAGGAAGAAAGGACTGGGAGGAGGTTGGGTAAGAGGATAATCAAGAGAGTACAGCGTCATGGAATTCAAGAAGAATTAATTTCAAAAAGGAAACAGTCAGTGGTCAGGAACGAAGGAGAGTTGAGAAAAACAACTGAAGAAAGACCAGAGAGTTTATGATTAGAAGGTGGCGTCGGGTGGGGAGATGCTGAGATGCTAAGAACTAAGTGGACTCTGAAAGGAGAGGAGAATGCCATAGCTTGGAGGTGAATAGAAAGGTTTTGTTTTAATTTTTTTTTAAAGCTAAGAAACCTGATTATGTTGTTTGGGGCCTAAGGAATACGACTGTTAGATTATTTTGTCCTAACTTCATTTCTTTTCCCAAATGTTTGTATAGCCACATTAGGAATAGCACATTCGAATTGGTTTCACAAATATTGGGCAAAATCCTGATGCTTCTCCCTGTGATTTAAATGGACAGGATGGACACTGAGCAGTGAGATATACACATCTCAGGTGTAAGACATCCAGTGTTTCAGGTGGGTGTTAGTCAAAGGAGTTAATGCTATAATATACATCCCCTAAATCTCAATGGCTTAATACAACAAGGCGTATTTCTCCCTTCTACATCAGTCCATTTAGCTGTTAGCAGGTGTTCTTCCATGCAGGGACCCAGGCTCCTTCCCAGCCTAGTGGCTCCAACATTGCCTAGGGCCTCAGTGCCAACTGGCCTTCTATATCCACAGGTCTGGAGAGGATGGAGACTCCCCCGGAGGCCTTGGAGGTCAGACCTCTGTTGGCCAACTGAGCCCCATGTCCCAGTCTCTGGCAGGGGAGCATGGGAGATGTAATAGAACAGTGTGCCCTGAGGCAGAGGAGAAATAGGAAGACTGCTGATACACAAAAATGTTCTGTCTTTGTTTTGTTTTGTTATTTTTCCAATACCAAGGCCTTTCACTCCAGTAGATAGTACTAGTAAACTCTTTTGAAATTCTTGCAGAATTTGCATTTAGTCCTGCCTGCACTCTTCAATTTCAACTCACTCAACAAATGTTTGTTAAGTGCCTGCTATTTGCTGAGCTCTGTGAAAGCAAGCCTGCCACATTCTAACAAAAAGACAGGTGAGAATGCAAGGTTTCACGTGCCATATTATATATTGGTTGTGGAAACAGAACTGGATTAATTCTCAGGTAGTTTAGCAGAGGTTTTGCAGAGGAGATGGCATTGGACCTGTGACTTGGAGTTCACCAGGCTAAGGAGTTGGATGAGAGGGTAAAGATGGAGGGGGTCCCATCTTCCAGACATTCTAGGCAACAGGAACAGCATTGGCAAAAGCATGATGGCGTGAGGCTACTTGGCATCTTTGGAAAGCTTTAAGTCTTCAAGTACAGGTGGAGCTTACTTATATGGAAGAGATTGTCTAAAGTAAGTTGAAGAGGTAAGTCCAAGGCCAATTCATGAAAATCCTTATATGACATGCTGTTGTGGGCCAAATTATACCCATGCCTCCAAATTTATATGTTGAAGTTCTAACTCCGCCTTGCTCCTTCCACGCTGACACCACTCCTCAGAATGTGATTATGTTTGGATATAGGGTCTTTACAGAGGTAATTAGATTAAAATGAGGTCATTCAAGTGCTCCCTAATCCTACATGACTGGTGTTCTTAGAAGAAAAAACTATCAGGACACACATGCGCACACACGCACACAAGACTACAGGGAGAAGGTGGTCATCTACAAGCCACGGAGAGAGGCCTCAGAAGAAATCAGCTCTGCCAACACCTTGGTCTCAGACTTCTAGCTGCTGAAACTGAAAATGTCATTTCTGTTGTGTAAGTCACCCAACCCATGGTACTTTGTTATGGAAGCCTAGCAGACTGAAACACATACCAAAGAATAGGAATGGAAGGGTATCTTCTAGAGATGTTTTGGAGTCAGAATCGGGGAGGCTTAGAGAGTGAGGCAAGGAAAGGTGAGGGCGAGGGAAATGCTAAGGGTGAGAGAAGTTTTTAGCTTCAGCCTACAAGTCTCTAGTGTGGGGACTTCCTCCTGAAGGGCCAGGGTAGTGTACTGCTTTCAAAGGCAGGCAGGTTAAAGAGGACTGGGTTTAGTTAGTTCAATTAATCACTGGTATTATTAATTATTGACAATGATGGGAATCTATAATAATAAAAGGGTAATATGCTAATTAGGCAAAACAGCTGAACCATCTTCTGATGTCCTTCCAGACATCCTTCTGGATGAAGCAGGGGCTGCGAGGGCTGAGCCCCTTGCACGAATTTCATGCATCGGGCCTCTAGTCTCTTAGAAAGCTCTGGCAAAAAAGTTAACAAGTTAAAACTACATGGTCCTGTGCTTGCTTCTGAAGAGAATGTAAAATGTATATCATCAGGCTGTTTTGATGGAATTGAATGACCCCAGTGAGAGCCCTGGACAAGTGAAGCATACATCGATGTGAGAGAGTTATCGATAGTTTGTCTCCTGAACACTCCCTGACCAGGGATCAAACCCACAACCAAGGCATGTGCCCTGATTGGGCATTGAACCCATGAAGTTTTGGTTTATGAGCCAACACTCCTCCAACGAAATGAGCCACACTGGCTAGAGTTGCATTTTCTCTTTGAAAGTGGAATGGGAAACTACCTCTGCTAGCTATTTTTTCTTTCTGAACCATTCTATTAATGCCAATCAAATGCAGAAAGTGATCAGGTGTAATTGCATTTTAAGCATCAAAAAGAAAATAATAAATGCAGTGCAGGGCCTTGACCATGACAGCATGTAAGCAGCCCTGAATAACTGCTCATTTTAAAGAAAGCATTCTTGGGACTTTGAGCATAGAAAAGCCTATGGTTCAGTTGAGTGCTTCATGATTTTTATCTATTTTTAAAAATATATTTTTATTGATTTTAGAGGGGGAGAGAGAGAGAGAGAAATATCTATAGGCTGCCTCCTGCACACCCTCTACTGGGGATCAAGCCCTCAACCTGGGCATGTGCCTTGACCAGGAATAGAACTGGTGACCATTTGGTGCATGGGACGACACCCAACTAACTAAGCCACAGTAGCCAGGGCTAGTAACAGATTTTTATTTCCGTTTATTCCAAATAATTCAGAAGTGCATGTGATGGGAGGAAAGCTTTGGTGGTTAAAAGCAGAGGCCAAAGACAGATACTTGAGTCACAGAGAACTTGCTGAGGAGGCAGACAGACATTTTTAATTGGCTGCATTTCATTCACAGGGCTGGCAATTTGATGTAAGGGAAGTTTTAAGAAATTGCTAAACCCTCAGGAATTGTTCCAGAATAAAAGAAAATCATCCTCGTATCATTTATGACACAGATGCCAATGCTACATTTCATTCCTTTTCTGAGTTTTCACAAAATGTGTAACATTGCCAAGCCTGTGATGGGACAAAAGGACCTCCTCTTCAGCAGTTTTGTTAGTTTTGATTCCCTTTTTAAATCTGCTGTCGAGTTGTCTGTTTCTGCAGGGACCCTATTTTCTTCTCCATTAGCTGAGACTACAGGAAGCTCAGCTGAAGATTCAGGAAGACTGCTCTCCTCTGGCCTGTGTATCCTCCTCGCTCCTTCCACATAGACACCAACATGTAATATGTTCTTTGCAGCTAGTTTGTCGAGCTACCTCTCTTTTTAAAAATTCTCCTCTATTTCAAAGAAAAGATCCAGAGACATACAAGTTACCGATAAAGTATTTATTGCCTCTCCTATCCCAGGAATCAGATTAAACTTTTAATAATTTGCTTCTAAAGGTCTCTTCTAACTTTGGGTGAAGACTATGATCATGTCTGAAGAGAAGTCCTGTACAACTACCGACGAGAGGATGTTTGGGGAGGGTGTCCATCTGGGCAGGACCACTGGGAAATGTTTTAGGCCGATGAAAGATCAGAGAAAGGGTACACTTTTCACTCCTTCTTTTCCACTTGTTGTGTGAGACCTCCAAACCCAATACCTGTTGGGCCAAAATTTTTGGCATAGCAAACTGGGAACGAAAACAGGGTGGGGGAGAGAGAAGGGTTGGTTAGCACCATTATTTCAGTTCCTTGCCTGACTACAGTTTTTACCTGTAAGAAGCATCCTATATAATAAAAGCCTAATATGCAAATTGACCAAATAGCAGAACGACTGGTTGCTATGACACACAGTGACCACCAGGGGGCAGATGCTCAATGCAGGAGCTTCCCTCAGCCCACAGGCCCCAGGCCAGCCAAGGCGGGTGCCAGTGTGGGCCCCCCAATCGCCCCACCACTTGCCCCACAGAAAGAGATGACTGGCGGTAGTGGGGGGCGGGGCCAGTGAGTTGGTGGGACAGGCCAGCAAAGGTGGGTGCCAGTGGGGGCCTCCCCCTCCCCCCCGATCACCCTGCTGGTTTCCCCACAGATTGGCCCTAATTGCCGGGCAGGCTTAGGGACCCTACCCATGCACGAATTTCGTGCACCGGGCCTCTAGTCCTTTTAATAAATGTTTTTTGTAAGATAATTTGTAAATAAAATGAATACTTTACTTTGGATCTTCTGATAAAAATTGCTTATACTTCTTTGCGCTTCACTATGCTCACAGACATTTTCTCATTGGAGTTGACACAGTCTGGCCCCTGGCTGCCTGCCCAGCCCTGTCCCCCACTGCTTCCTGCCTCTCCAGGCACAGAGAACAATGCCCCAAGTTTGGGGCCTTTGTGCTCACTGCTTCCTGTGCCTGGAATGCCCCCTCCCAAAGCCACACTCATCCTTCAAGACCAGAGGAAGCTTGTCCTCTAAAAAGCATCCCTCACATCCCACCCTGATCACTGGCCTCTCTGTATGTTACAGCCTTGTGTAGGTCTGCTGTGAGAGCTTTTTTCACTTGACATGAAATTATTTGTTTACATGTTGATCTCCCTGCTTCTCACAGCAGCATTTTAGGGTTTTATGGCTTATGAATGCTGAGGACACTGTGTCCTCTACTGCCAGGAGAAGCCAACCATTGTGTCTCTTCATGGGAAAAGCCTTGGCAACCTACAGTCTTGATTAGTAATGTCCTCCCTCTGCTCCCCTCTCAGTGTTCCCTCACCCAACTCCAGCACAGCTCCTGGGGTCTGGAAGAGGCTCTGAGGTTGAGGACGCATTACCTTGGCCCTAATGCATTCCTCCCCTTTTGTAGCATCAGGGAAGAGCTATGCCTCTATTACCTCTGCGCAAGGCAAAGGGATCATGGAGGCAGCTAGGGGCGGAGCTGCAAGGACTAGAAGGAAAACCTACTTGTCAGTTCTATCTCTGTTAGTAAAGTGATATGCAACTAGAGCAATGGAGAGAGGGAGGGAGAGGGAGAAAAGAGAGAGGAAGGAGGGAGGGAAGAAGGATATGTCTTGAATTGAAGAGAGGGCAAACTGCATTCATCCTCCCCAGTCAATCCTACCTGCCACTCAGGTGGACAGAGGGCTTTTGGGTTTTCAGAAGAGAATGTGATGCTATTTGTCCAGGCCTGTGGTCTCTTCCTCCTCATCTTCTCTCCCCTGGGCACCACCCCTGAGCATTTGCAAGCATCATCCCCCACATGCTCTGATGGAGAGGACCAGAGCTGGGTCAGGCAGATTTCTTTTTCAGGTGGTCTTCCCATCCTGAGATCCCAACCCTGCTCAGGCTGAGCAGCTGTGCGTCCTGCAGACATGAGCCTTCTCCTCAGGACCCTCCGCAGGAAAACATCACAAGAGAGTCTCCGGAACCACTCACCTTTGCAATAAAGTTCTCCATCTTTGTCAGTGACGTTCGTGGACTCGAGGCTCTTCCCACAGATGGCGCAGCGGAAACAGGTCTTGTGCCAAGGCTGAGGAGCACAGCAGAGTGACATACTTAATGCGGGGGCAGCACCTCTGCTTCCATGTTCACACCCTGACCAGCGCATCTAAAGGAGTGCCATGGCCTTGACCATTCCTGTACCTAATCAGCCTCCAGAATAATTTTTCCAGGGATTTGAAGAACATGAGATGCCATGGACTTGGCCAGTAATTCTCAGAACCCCTAAAAAAATACACTTATTGTTGTGATTTCCACATGTATCCCTTCAGAACAGGCTAGAAGACCAAGAAACTGGAGAGGGGAGCTTGGATTTGGGACAGTGGGTAACAGTTACATGGAATATAAAGTTAAAGAAGAGAAGTGAATAAGGCAATTATCCAGGTAACTCAACCTCATTTAACTCTATATTTCCGGTCGGAAGAGTGCATGGCTTGGGTCATTCAGATCACCTGCCTTCTGCTCATCTGCACGTCTACCAGGCATGGCCCAGGGGTTCTCATGTGTCTTCAAATGGCCACTGTGGGGTGGACACTGCCCTGATATTTGAAATCAGTCAGTCACTGCTCTCCATGGCCCTTCCACCCCTCAGTGTAAGCAGGATGTTTTCCTTTCGTCAGGCCCAGATCCTTTGGTGCAGAGCCTGGGGTCAGGCCTGAAAGAGGAGCTTGTAGAGCGAGTGTGCTTTGCTGTGTCATACATTTGATCACTCTCCCGATTGCCAGGACATTTGAGGGAGGTTGTGTCTTGCTGCTGTGAGATGTTTGCTCTGTCAGTGGTGAGGCCAGCAGCAGACTGAATTATGTAGTGGTGGCACCTTCTGGAAGGATTGTGGACCCCGAAGGGCCGGGAGGCTTGAGCATATTTATCTCTGGAGTTTCTACATAGTGCCTCATAGCCAGTGCGCTGATGCTTGTTGCATTGAAGTCACCAGTTCTGGTTCCAAGGGCACTGCAGGGGACAGCCTCAGCCTGGGAAAGCGGGTGAGGACGGATGGCTCCTAAAGTGGTCCCTCAGAGCTGAAGGGAATGAAGGGTCTGGCTCCCACCCACAGTTCTACTTGCTTCTCTCATTCCCCCCAGCCAATCCAGTGGAGATAAGGAGCTCCCATCGGCTCATCTAGAAGTCCTTACCTTGCCCCCTCCCATCACCTTCTCTGCAGCATAGACTGACTTTCCACATCGAGGGCACTTCTCTGATTCTCCGAACTTCGCAGTGAACTTGGAAGGGTTGCTGGTGGTGGCTGACCGTGCTTGCTTTGGGGACCTGATGGAAACAGACGAATGAAACCTATCGCCCTCCCCTGCTGTGTGACCCTGAGCAAGTTACTTCTCTGTGCATCAGACTCCTCATCTAGGAAATGGGGACAGTTGGAGTGCCTTCCTCACAGAGTTGTTGAGAGGGTTAGATGAGGTGACATGAGCAAAGCTTCTAGAACAGTGCCTGCCTGGTAGGTATAAGGCTCCTAAATGTTAGCTATGATTAGTTTACATCTTTCTTTTCTATGGTAAAGCACTTAAGAAGTGTTCCATGTATGTTAGCTTTTATTATTGTCATTTTGTTACTGCGTTGTTATTATTGCTGTGACTGTAGAGATTTTTCTGTTCCATCTGGAAGTCCATTGGTCTACTTTCCAAAATGAGTTGTGAAAATATTATAGGGCAAGATGGGATCTTGATAGTTAATACTAAACAAACCATAGTCCATTCCTTGTCCCCATGAGAGCAATGTACAAAATAGAGGCACAATAACAACCCCCATGTTTCCCTATCTTTTGGTGTTTTCTTGTCCACTTATCCCTTGAGTCTCACCATAGCCTCTAAAGTAGGCAGGGCTAGTTGGAGGAAAGTGAGGGGGGAGGGGCCACTCATAAGCAGTGGGACAGGGTCTCCAGACTCTTGTCCCTCTTTGTGCAGCATCATAAGAAAACCCTAACATAGAAGAGTGAGCCTTGGGTAGAGCATGGCAGAGAATTCAGTTGGTAGCATCTTCTTTAAACAGAGTATCTGGTTGGGAATGAGTAAAGAGAAATCAAAATGTCTAATCAAACATCCATGCACTTGCTCAGGCTCTACCATGGGCTCTTCTCTTTGGAAGGGACCAGGTGACTCTTCAGATGGCCTGACTGCTCTGTGGGGCAGGCCCTCCCTGGGACACGGCCTTTCTGCCCAGTCCCACCGCAGAGCTGAGCCCGGCCACCAGCTGGCCAGACAGCAGAGCCCGGCCACCATCTGGCCAGACAGCAGCTGCAGGTGAGTGGCTGCCAGTCTATACTGAGTTCTGGGCTGGAGGTCAGCGTGGTCACCAAGACAGACTGACAGATGGAGGAGGCACAGTGTGAGGTCCCAGCTCCCCTGGGATAATGGTAGGGGAAACCTCAGCACTGTGTTGGCAACAGGCAGCAGGGGGGACCCACAGGGTAGTTGTAATTGTTTACTCCTGTCCTGAGGTACAGCCCCACCCCACAGAACCACTCCTCCTGTGGACATTAGTCCCCTTACAACCCAAGGGAAGAAATCTTTTAGTGACACGCACACAGCAAACGGCCATTGCTTCCCTGCCATATTTATGTGATTTACACAGAAAAGCTCAAAGGGAAGAAATGAGACTCCATGCAGTTTTATAAAGGTCAAACAAAGAAGCATCTGTACTTTCTTGGTTTTCTCTTGACATGAAAACCAAGGGCCATGGTGGAAAAGTAATTGCCCTTTAGAAAGGCAGATGATTTAAAGAGTCTTTGGGGGAGATGGCCCATTATTAAAACTTGGTCAGACTGAGGATTCCTATGGTGGGCAAGTCAACAATAGTTCATTCTCCCACTTCCTGGAAACGTTGCTATGGGAACAGGATGAACTGTCCTGATAACTGGGGCTGTGCAGGCTGGGAGAAGCGGGGCAGTCACTCACTCTTGGAACTGGAGGCCCAGGTGTTCGCCTGTGTCGGTGCTGAGGCAGCCGGCGCCTTGTCCAAACCCGATCCCCTTGGGGCCGTACTTGCGCCCATAGCAGGCCTTGCAGTAGATCTCCGAGTCGTGAGCTGCGACCGTGGTGCTGTCCAGAGCCTTCCTACAGGCCACTGCCGAAGAGAGGAAGGTCCGGAGGTTGGGGTTAGGCTCCTTCCCACTTCCCTGCACCTCCAAAGCCATGCTCGGGGCCAAGAGACCGAGCAGAGGGGCCCTCGGCCAAGAACACTTTGATTCCTGACCAGTGCACCTGTCCTGGGACACAGAGAGGGAAGCGGTGTGTTCAGTGGTGCCCAGTGAGAAAGAGGTGGAAGTGGAACCAGGAGTATGGTCTTGGGTCAGCTAAGAATATTGTCCCTAAATCGGAAGAACCCGAATTCCAGAGTGACTTCCTAAATGACATCAGGGAAGTATGTGTGTGAGTAGAAGGTAAGGGGCTGAGGCAGGAGAGGAACTTAATTTTTCTTAATCATATAAGAATTAGGATTGAGAAGTTTCTCTACTTATCATGGCCTTAGAAGGGCACTGCGACATTCAAGGAGACAGTTACCATGGAAGCTTCTTCTGATCTAGTTCTGGAAGCCGAGAGGAGGTGAGGGGGGCAGTCCTGCCTCAGAGACCCTTAGGGCTTATCTTGGCTCAAGCCTCCTGGTCACTGTATGTTATCTAATGTAAATTGTCCATAAGGAAAAGTGTACGAAGCAAACCCCCATTTTCCCAGAGAGAGGATTTATAGAAAGATTTTGCCAATTTAAAAGAAAAAGTTTTAAGTATATAAATGAAAGTGTCAAATCCCCACTTACAGTATTTAACAACATAATTCAATCACATGTTGATTTGGAGATGTTATTTTTTTTTCCTAATTGCACACAAATTCGGGAAACAATGGTATCCAGATTGTTTCTCTGCATCTTCAGCATCAGCAGTGTCTCTGAGACACCTGGCCCAGCCTCCCGGGCAGCTCATCTCCACTCTCTGCAGCCCCGTTTGCACCTGGTGGGAGGCTGTCACCTGGAAATTGTGTTTCAATCAGAAGCACCTGTCAACATGACATGAGGGCAGCTTTTAGAAATATGTAGGATTTCCACAAAGTAACAATGGGCTCGATTGCTTTGTAACAATGGTCCTTCATGGTTGTTCATGGTGATGCTCAGGGATTATCAGAGGGAAGTCACAGGTCCAGGAATAAAAATACACATACATTCAATTTACTTGCCTCCTTTTTAATTTTTAAACCAGTTCAATCAAATGACCTCGATAAGCAATTCAGCATTGGATGAGGTTGTTTCAGGCTCATATGCCTTCCTCAAATGGGATTTCATTTTTAAAAATGAATTGAATAAGAGAGTATGTGTAGAAGATAAAGATGTAGATGAGGTAGGACTGGCCAGAAGCTGGTGGCTGTGTGATTGGGGAAAGAGACATATGGAAGTTCATGAAACAATTATGTCAATGTTATGGGTATTAAAAATTCTGTTAAAATAAAAAAATAATAAAATAATTGAGAGACTGTTTTATAGCATGGGAGACTTTATACAGCTTTGAAAACAAGAGAAACCCTTATGAGGGATAATTTTGGGAGGAAAATGCTTTATATTTGGGCACATAAGGTGTATATCTGTCTCTGCCCTTGTTGCTCTCAGTTACCAATTAGAACAATTTCTTAAATATTTATAGATGTTCAAGATTCTGAGTTCCTTAAGGGCAAGACTTTCATGTTAATATCCCCAGAACATAGCATGGAGTCTGGCCCAGAATTAGTAGTCCTCTATAAACATTTGTTGAATGGGTAGATGGATGGATAGATGGATGGATGAATAAGTGGATGAATGCACGCATGCATGTGTAAATGAAGATGAGCGACTTGTCCACGATTATACAACTGAGCCATGCCTGGCCTCAGAGCTTTGACTCCTCCTAGAGTGCTCATTCATGTCACTGCAGGACTGCTGATGCCCTGGCACACCCTGGCCCATTTGATACCACTCCTGTACTTGACCCACTCTCAAGCACAGACACAGTGAGCTGTGCTGTCCAGTACCCCAGACACTCGCCTGCCACGCGAAGTACTATAACCACAAAGTGCGCAGTGAATTTCAAACACTCAATACAGACAAAATAAGAATATAAAATAATTTGTTAATAATTTGTATATTGATTACACATAAATTATAATCCTATATAATAAAAGGCTAATATGCAAATCAACCAAAAGGGGGAATGACCAGTTGCTATTATGGGACACAGGACCCTCAACACAGGAGCTTCCCCTGGGTGGTCAGTGCACTCCCCCAGGGGAGTAGGCCTAAGCCATCATTGGGATATCCCCTGAGGGCTCCTGGACTGCAGGCCAGGCTGAGGAACACCTCCCCCCCCTCCCCCCAGTGCACGAATTTCATGCAGTGGGCCTCTAGTTTTATATATATATTATGTTAAGTGTTTTGCAATTGATTTCACCTGTTTCTTTGTACCTTATAAAAATATGGTTACTAGAAAATTTAAATTTACATATGTGGCTTATATTTCTTTTGGACAGTGCTGGTAGGAAGGATTAAGATTTGTCTAGAAGTTGGGCAAACACTGGTGGGGACAGGCTTAGGTAGACTGTGCCTCTCTGAACCCCATTTTTGGGAATTATAGGGTCGCCTGTGGACTTACTTTTTGATGATAATACTAAAAAGTGTGCTTCTCTCTTGGAACTTTCTGTCTACCACTTTAGGAACATATACTGCTCAGATCCCCATCCATCCCACCTACGTGTTCTAAGGAAAACATCAAAGTGTGGAAAGGAATGCACCACCACATGCTCACATCCTTTCTGCCGCGGCTCCATTGAACAGGGACGTCCTCCTGTGGACCGGGAAACACAAGACCCCCTACCGCGGGTGCTTCACTACCATTTTCCATTCCCACTCAGGTATCAAAGTTGATCAAAGGAGAATAAAGGCCTAGAAAGCTGATTTTCCACATCAAGACCTCCAGCTTTCTTCTTATAACAACCCATATGGTAGGTATGGCCACCTGCGTTTATAGATGGGGAGACTGAGGCCTGATGGAGAAATGACTTGCCCAAGATCTCACAGTATAGGGCAGAACCCAGACTCAAACCCTAGTCATTTTTACTCCAATGCGGGTGTTCTATCCAATATTCCTCACTCCCACTCTTTGCTAAGAACACGAGCTGTTTTTGGACAAAAGCCAGAGGGTTATGGGATAAACTCTCTTGAGCAGTGACTTTTGGATAACTGTAATAATAATGAATCTGATGGACGTGTCTGGTGACTTAAAAGAATTACCCATTGTTAAAAACTCAAAGCATCAGTAAGTCTGCCAACCCAATCACTCGGAACAGTATTCTCCCCTGTTCTTCGATGATATTTATGTTTGCTGCGGGAGGTTAGAGAGAATGGAAACGCGAATGGAAACGCCTGCAGCAGATGAAACGTTACTGTTTCTGGCAGCTTAAGGGCAGAGTGTCTCCTGCTGCAACAGATGGAGCCCACCCCTTGAAGTTCTGTTTGAAACAGAGTGACGCCTTGTGGTCACTGGGCTGCGGCAGGGAGGTGGAGTGGGAGACTATGGGGGGAGGGGATCTGCCAAATATCCAGGAAAGCTGACCCTTAAGCCAGATCTACTGGAGGGAAGCAAAGACGGTAAGTGGCCAAAACAGACTGTTCTCCCAAAATAGGGCTAGCTACTAAAAATTCCAGAATGCACTAATGTCAAAGTGTGATTTCACTAGGCAGTGGTTCTCAACCTTCCTAATGCCACGACCCTTTAATACAGTTCCTCATGTTGTGGTGACCCCCAACCATAAAATTATTTTCGTTGCTACTTCATAACTTAATTTTGCTACTGTTATGAATTGTAATGTAAATATCTGATATGCAGGATCTATTTTCATTGTTACAAATTGAACATAATTAAAGCATAGTGATTAATCACAAAAACATATGTAATTATGTATGTGTTTTCCGATGGTCTTAGGCCACCCCTGTGAAAGGGTCGTTCGACCCCTAAAGGGGTTGCGACCCACAGGTTGAAAACCGCTGGACTAGAGGGAGTCAAAGATTCAGGTGCTATTCCTGGCTCTGCTATGGATGCTTACAGCCCAGACTCACAGGTGAGAAATGACTTATCCGAAGTCACAGGAGTCCAGCAGAGCCAGACTCCCAGTGGACCACGAGATCTTAAAATTGCCCCAGCTTCAACATTTGTGAATCTGCGTCTGGCAGGTGATGCTAAAAATTCTCTTTGCAAGTGACTGGTGCCCAGGCCCAGAAATGCTTCCTTTTCTGACTCCTAAACAACTGGCACGTGTTCCCCTGTCTGACACAAGTTCTTTCTTAGGAAAAGCCAGTTGCAGCTGACTTCAGTGATAGCTGGCCAGTGGGAAAGACACCTAGAGCCAAATCCATCCTGTCCAGATAACCAATGGCCATCGTTCTCTGCCAAGTCACACCTTGCAAATGTCACCACTGGGTTAAAGTTTTCACCACTGAGGCCAGCTTGCTCTGACTTTGAGCTGCAGGGAAATGGCCTCTGAGCTGGGCAAGTGGCTGGAGAGAGGGTGTTCAGATGAGCACCGTCCCTTCCTAAGGTGGGAGCCACAAAGTCCCAGGTGACACTGATGTTGCTAGTCGCGGGACCACTTTGAGAACCACGGATATATAAGTATTGGTGGCTAAATGTGAGCTTTGAAACACCCCCTGCATGCTGAGGGGCCCTCGTGGTGTTCACCCAACTCACTGCAGTGGAAACAGGTCTTGTGGAAACTCCTTCCGTTGCACTGGATTTCTTCCGCATGGTAGACTGTCTTTTCACAGGCTCCACATTTTGCACCGCCACCCAAGTTCGGCATCTTGAAGACTTTCTGACCAAGGTCAAGTCTAACAAGATATAAAGCAAATACCCCAAATTTAGGCAGCCTTGGGAGTGAACCAATCATTGACAATGCAGTGGTCTGAAGATCAGGATACCGCCCCATTTTGTTTGTGGTTCATTCATTCATTCAATAGTTACTGTGTGCAAGTCATTGAATAAGGAAGGCTCTGAGCAAGTCACTTCACTACATTGGGACTCAGTTTCCTCTTCTGTTAAATTTCAAAAGCACCTGCTCCTATGGACTTCTCAGTGTTCTTGGAGGGAATGGATGAGCTAATTTTGTGTCTATAAAATTATATACAAATATTGTCATAATTTTTTCCATCTAGGATTTTAAGAAATATTCCATCAGAAGTGGCAATACAAAAGAAGAAGATGTGGCAATAACCTATTAAAGTGGCATTATTTTCTAACCTAGTCCAGTGCTTCTCCATTTACCTCGGATCTTGCTAATAATATACAGATTCTGGTGGAAGAAGCAGGAAATTCTGCATTTCTAACGGACTCCAGGCCGTGCTGATACTCCTAGTAGTGGACCACCCTTTGGGTAGCAAAGCCTTAGCTAATCTTCCTGATAAAAATATATAATCTATCATCTATAAAATATCCTGTTCAGATTTATTCCTCCTATTAATTCCTTTTTAAGGAAATATCCCAGCCCAGGCAATAAGCTATATTGGCACTATCCTAGATCAGTGGTCTGGAAACCGACCTTCTGCTCTCGGGGCTACCCACACCTCGCTGTGCGCATTGAGAACTGCGCAGCTTTCTTACCTCTGTCTTCCCAGCTATGCTATCAAGAGAGTCACTCTTTTCCTTGCTGCTTCACAGTGTTGTTTAGAGGACCAAGTGACATGATGTGCAGGATGGTACATGACAGAGCTCCAGTGCCAGGTGTGATCACAAGAGCCAGGTGAGGATGCTGTGTATCTCCCCACACCATTCTGCCTCAAGGAGCTGCTGATACCCACAGCCCTGGCCCATCATTGTCTCCTCACTACAGAGTTAAGAGATACTAGGCAGCTCTAGATGGTTTGGCTCAATGGATAGAGCATCGGCCTGCCGACTGAAGGGTGCCCAGGTTTGATTCCGGTCAAGGGCATGTACCTCAGTTGCAGGCTGCTCCCCAGCTGGAGCTCTGGTCAGGGCTCATGCAGGAGGCAACCAATCAATGTGTTTCTCTCACATTGATATTTCTGTCTTTCCCTCTCTCTTACTCTCTCTAAAAATCAATGAAAAAATATCCTCATGTGAGGATAAAAGAGAGAGAGCGAGAGAGAGAGACTAGGCAAGGAGGAGCATCAGAAAAATGGTTTTCTTTCTGTGTCTGTGGATAAGTATGAATCCAGTTTTCAGTTTCTCCAGAGCAAAACTAAAATAAATCATCCATACACAGTAAACTTTCTGAAATCCTGCCAGCCCCAGGGGGGCTTGAATTTTCACTGGGATCCTTTGGTTTCTCGAAGCCTGGTGTGTCATCTTGTCATGACACCAAACACTATCAGCTCATTCCAAGTGGCTGCTTCTGACCTTCTCTTGCCCTCCTGGGGAGCTAGTCACCTTCTTATAATAGTTGGCCATTGCCACTAAGCCCTCCTGGTCACTGGTCAGGAATGTGTCTCCCAGACTCGTAGCAAGGACAGGTTTTGCTAAGAAACAGAAGGTAAATAGCAAACAGACCACTGAACCCGATACTCAGACCAAAGGGAACATCCCTACCTGAATGTCCCTGCAAGGAGCTTTTCCCATTTACAAAAACAGCGTGAGGTTAGCCGGGAACATCCTATCCTTCCTCTCATAGAAGCAGGCTCTTTATTTCAGTATAATTGTAGAGAACTTTTTTTTTTAAGGAAACAATTAATGCTTCTTTTTCTATAGTTCAAGTTGTTTGGTTAGTGGAAAGAATAATGAATTTTGAGTTGAAAGGCTTGTAAATGAAGTCGGTATTCATTCATTCATTCACTATGCATTTTCTACCTAACTATCATGTGTCAAGCACTACATCAGGTACTAGTGAGGGATCCAAGGGAGGAAAACATAAAAATAACAAGAGAATTGTGTCTTCCGGAACTGAGAAGTCCACATTCTATTGAGGAAGGTAGGCACCAGAGAAGAGTCTTGTGAGACGTGCCATGCATACTCGGAGAAATGGCTACCCACGTTTAGATTAGAAATGAGAGCAGTGGTGTTGAAGGATCACAGAGGATGTCACATCCAAATGGGGTTTTGAAGGGTGACTAAGAGTTCGTCAGAGAAAGAGGAAGAACACTTCAGGCAGAGAAAAGAGCACACAGAAAGGCATAGAGGCCTTAAATTCCCCCCCACCCCCAAAGCCCAAACTGCTTATTTTACTTCATTAAAATTTTAGGACTTTTATGATTGGAATAGATTTTCACGACTGACCAACGCCCTCATTTACAAACAAGGTGAGGCCTAAGTAAACATTTGGTAGTATTTTCTTAGCTAACCTCCTTTTCTTAGAGCCATCGTTCCCTTATTAAAGATGATATATTCTCTGGAAAAGAATAGAATCACATAATTGTGCCCATGTTCATTTTGATCCAGAGTTTCAATAGGATATAAAATAAAGGAGAAATGACATATACCTCCAGGAATGTGACAGTGACACTTGTGAAATTAATGATATGGAAATTTTCAAGGAAAAAAACCCGAGGTCAAATTTCTCACTTCAGATCTCCTTTGGATATTTCATTGGCAGGTTCTGCAAGTTAATGGGAGAGAGATATGCCTCTTGGATGTATGAGGTGTGTGTGTGTTCAGCAATTGCCTACACGTGAAACTTTTAAAAGTGAGGATAAGATTATAGATAATAACTTCTTCACAAAGTAACCTATCCTTGTACAGGTTTTTAAAAAAAGTGATCATAAACATCTGACATACACATGTCAGGATTTGAAACCCCAAATAGAAACCCGTAAAGGTTCTATTAAACAGGTGCCCAGTTTCATTGCTAAAGATGGGATTGTAGCAGTGGAGGCCAAACACAGAAGACAACCCCGATTTTTTTCTTTCAATGCTGCAAGGCCCAGAGATAAGGGTATGGTAAAGCACCCTGAATTGGAGGACATGGATTCTATGCTTGACCTGGCGACCCTGAACTTGGGTGAAAAATGGCGATAATACCATCGCCTGCACGTTCCGCACAGGACCACTGTGAAGGTCGAGGAAAGGCGGGATTTAAAGCCTTGCAGCAGAATCCCTGCAGGGACATGTCGGGGACCCCCGAGGATGCCTGACACCCGGTGGAAGAGTGCGCCCTGTCTATACAGGTTCACTTGCAGGAGACTCTGCACGGCTCCTCTGGGCCATGTCTGAGTTGCCAGCGCTGCCACTCTCGCAACTCGGGGCCATTATTCAGTAAAATGGGGGCGACTGGACCCACAGCCCCGCGGTCTCACAACAGTTGATCCGAAAACCGACGCGGCTACTGAGTGACAGGCCGGGGGCAGGGCGCGTGCGCAGCGTGAATGCGAGATTCACGTCGTGGGTGACGCATCGCGAGATTTCATCCCCACTTAGAACGGGCGGCTTTATCACACCCGCGCAGAACGGCGTGCAATTGAAAACGTAAGAATTGTTTACTTCTTGGAATTTTCCCTTTACTATGTTTGGGCCAAGCCTGACTGCCGGTGACCGGAACCACGGAAAATCAGAGCCTGGGGTAAGGGGGACTTTATGGAGAAGCTATTCACAGGCAGGGCGGCGTCGCGCCCTTTATAGCAGGGCCTGCAAACAGCAGCAGCTGCTCAGTAAGTCACTGTGGTCTGAAAGCACTTCTAGGCCCTGGCTGCCGTGCATAACCTCCTTAGCCTCCTGCATTACTTTGGAATTCCTGTGTCTCAACACTCCCCTAGCCAGGCCCACAATGTGAGTTCACGCTGGCACGGCACCAAGGGATGGGCCATGGGCTTATCAGTGTTGCCCGGCACAGGCAAGGGCCATTAAGGGGGGGAGGAGACACCAAATATAGGCTTGCCTGTCACTCAGCCCCATTTGTCCCCTGGGTCACAGTCTCTATCCATGTCCTGGGCCTGGGAGGGAGGGGAGATGGCTGCGTTGTCACTGAGGAAGTTGCTCATGATTGAAACGGGGTGCAGTCTGAGCTTGATGGGGATGAGACAGAAGGCAGGGCCCTGCTATGTCAGCTGGTGAGAGGGGGACTCCAGACTTTTGGGTCCCAGGTCCCAGTGAGAGACAACTTGTGCAGACTTCTGAATGAATAACGCTGTGGCAGAGATCACGCTGGGAAGGTGCCTTACTAGGGGCTGGGAAAGCCCTGGTGAGATGCAGATCAGAGTCCCAGTAATGTCTTGCCTCTATGGAGCTATATGATCGGGGAAAACCCTTCAACGCTCTGAACCGCAGTATCCTCTCTAAAGCGGGCATCATAGTCCTGTCTGTTTTGTTCTTGCTGGTAGGACTGTAGCATTTCAAGTACGTCAAATAACTTTGTCAACTGTAGAGTATTATAAAATGTAAGAGCCCGTTAGTTCAGTACTAACTCAAAGTGGCCATGTATCCACGTGAATTTTTAAAAGAAAAAACCAACTGTGTATCTTAGGCGCATTCTTCCTAATCCAACACTTTGTTTCTTTGGCTTTTAAATACCAACTATGGCGTGGAAAAGTGATACCTTAGGGCAAAAGTGGGTGGGGTGAATAAAATGGGCACGGAGTGATTCAGTTTCCTCTTTGTCCATTAAAGTACCTGGGAAGGAATCTTAGGCCCTGACCGAGCAGAGACCTCAATCGAAAATGCCACTTTTAGCTCAGTGTTGGTTCATTTAGTCATCCTATTAGATGCCTGATCATCCCACAGTGAGTTAAATTGTCTGCACTGGCTGAGACAAAGATTTTGGATCTTGGGAACTTTTATCTGGAACCTAAGAGATAATAATGATTGCTAATATAATAACACTAGAGGCCTGGTGCATGAAATTTATGCACTGGTAAGTTCCCTAGCAGCTGCCAGCTGCCGGCTGAATACTCCCTCCCTTCCTCTAGCCGGCCCTGCCTCCTGGTCAAACTCCCGGACGACTCCTGGTGGAGGGGACAGTTTGCATACTACACTTTTATTATATAAGATTATTATTGAAGCTAATGTGTGTCTGAAGACCTACCCTTGGGCCTGTGTCATATCTCATTTAATCTTCACAACAGCCCTTCAAGCTAGGTAATATTACAAAATTTAGAGATGGGGAAATGGAGTCTGAGGGAAATTACATTGCCCAAGGTCACATGGCTACTTGAAACTAGGGTCTCTCTGACCCCAAAGCTATGTTCTTATATTAATGTTAACTATTACTTATTGTTAACCATGCATCAGTTGCCTTTATATAAACTATTTTTAGTGTAACTGTCCTACAGAGCTAAGTTTGTTATTCCCATTTTGCAGATAAATAAAACTGAGACTTAGAGCATAAGTGACTTGTCTGAGGTCACACGGCTGGTAAATGGCAGAGCTTCAATTGAAACCTCAGCTAAGCTGGTTCTATGTCCCATGTCCCTGCTCACAACCCACTGGAGAGGGGTCAG